TGTATTAGCAGGCGTAATGTTGTTGGCATAGACCTGCGGATATACCATATTTTCCTAAGTAGAGCTTTAATGAGAAGCAGACATATTATTTTTAGGCATGCTACCCTACAGATAGACTGAATTTCATATAAATAGACTTGGCATTACATCAGTGGACATCCCATTTGTATGAAAACGATATGTATGGACAATGTGTTGCGTCACTTGATCTACGACTAAACGATATCCTTATACGTGAACAGGAAATTGGACAAAGCAATTTAAATGTCTGAGTTCACCAGTCAGACGTCTGCTCCCAGAGGGTTTTCCCCACTACGTTTCGAATATGCCGATTGATTGCGATTTGGCTCTAAATTTTTTGAATGTTGATATTAATTTTCAACCAGTTGTGCAAACGCTTATGAATCAAATTTTGGCTGCTATTCATTCACGGTTTCATTGTTTACTATCAACAGGCCTAAAAATAGTTAGTGGGAAGGAAGTCAATGCATTGCTTGACAGCTACTATATATTTCGGTGGTTCTGAAATTTATTTATTGCAATTCTAATAATAGCTTATTAATGGGCATATAGTTAAGGTGTCTAAACAAGACAGGGAACAAAGCATTGTGCCTCAACAGCGGCCAGTGACAGAAGTGAATCCCATCATTTTTAACCAAAGAATTTTGAAAGTCACATTTTATAATCCCTATTACTCTTCTGCATTTTTACGCATCTTTACATACCGTCTAATCATGAGACTATTTCGACTTCCAGCAGCAGTGGCTGTCGTGTGCATTTTAAGGAATGCATCGCGTGCATAAATGTTTTGTCAGCTTTCAGAGTATAACATACTACCCTCCATATTCAAAATGCAAAGCACAGTACCTGATGGAATTTATATGAAACAGCTAGTATTGTTTGATTTGCCTTCTTCAGATAAGTGAAATTTATCCCAACTGTGTGAATTAGAAGTGGAGACATCGAGAGCGCAAATTCACTCTAGTTTACGAAGAAGCTGACTATGCTGGGTTAATGCGGGATGACCGGTGGACGTGCGTAGACTCTGATGGGAGATCAACGGTGAACGAAGGTGCGCCCAAAGCAGGTAAGACGGAACTAACGGCGACGGATTCAGCTTCTCCAACACATTCTCATCTTCACGTTTGTACCGACTCTTAACATTTCAAATACATTTCCCTTGTGTTTTTGCTTTATAAAATGGTCCTTAAAAGAATCACCTATTGTGTTTTGCAAGTATTAGATGAATACGGAGTGCATATAAAGGGTTGCTGCTTGACTCTGCTTTGCAGTTCCGGGTCAAAATTACGGTGAATAAACTACTTTCTTCCTCAAATGAAATTGCAGAAATAATTGATTTTGCACGCATTGATAGTAGTTCATGCCTTTCATTTTGCCAGCTCATTTGACACATTCGCTAAACATTCACTGAAGGTGTTTCATTGCTACTTCCAGTTTGATGCTTTTACTGACTGATGTTTACGTTGGCACCAGACAATGAGCACCTAAGGGTTCAGGTGTCCTATAGCTTCCTACTAAAATCCATGGCAGACCTCTACATACATTCCTTGTCAATGAAGGTGTGATCGGGCACCAGAAATGCATGAAAGGGTGTTATTGCAGTCTACACAGAGCTTATTTATCTAACCCCAATGGGAATTTGGGGAATGTGAAGATCGGTGTTTGGCAGCAAGTGAAGCAGGATGCACAGGGCATACAAGCCACATGTATTTGCAAGGCGGCACAGACTTCAGAGCAAGGAATCATCCCTGACAGCTTCAATGATCATTTACAATTTAAATGTGTCTACCAATCATCTTACAATAACTCAGAACAGTCAACCTTAAAAAAACTGAACCATTGTGTAATCTTGTGCCATCTCTGTGTTCTGCTCCGACGTCCAGCAGCTCATTCCATTCGGCGATTTTTAAAATGCTCATACCACGAAAGTGATTTACCGAATGTTTTTTACGTTATGTTGCTGTGGATTGCAAATAGGCATTTCATGTATGAATGTTGGCATATTCCATTCTTTAAGCCATGAACAAATGTATATGCTAGTTGACTTCCTTAAATTTAATCAAGAGTCGAATTGCGAATGATTTTCCCACGACCATGCTAGTAAAATCACAGTGTGCAAAGTTGAATGTATACATGTGACTCTAATAAGTTTATAATTCTCGTCTCCATGCGGAGGCATTTGCAACCCAACTGTTAAAATTGGACAGTAAAGAAATGAAAGCGTGAATCAATCTCATGTTCGGTGCAGCTATTTCTGCATTAGGCATTGGTGATGCACGTTCAAATCAAAAGCGGACTTTTTAATATTCCGGCATGCACTGAGATGAAGCCGATTGAGGAGAACACTTGCATTTCCTCACTGTCAACGATTAGGATATTTGTCAGAAGGTACTAAGAGGTCTAGTTTCACTGTCTCGACCGATTGTGCATGGAGTGGGTTCCTTTATTTTAGTTGCTGATGATTGAACAACTCCTACTGAAGCTGCCAACGTGGATGTGTCTGCCGGCATTGAGTGTTAAGTAGTGACCCTTAGAACGTCCTCATTTTAACACCTCTATTTCTGTGCTTTCTTCTTTACGTAACCTTTCGGTGTTGATGTTTGCCGATTTCCTTTAAGCAGTTTTCTTTACAAATCATGCTCCATACAACTGCATGTTCTGAGATGTTTTCTCGAGGGGGACGAAACGCCCTCTTTTGCAAATTAGAATATTTTATCTTTTACTTCCCCCTTTTTCTTATCATAGTGTTTGGTTCAATGCGTACTTGAGAATATAAGAATATGTCACGAGGCAATAATCGCAATTCATTGACTGCTTGTTATGCTTCCGATTTTAAAAATGGGACACTCTGGGCTCCGGCACTGCATCCTCCCAGGGCGATATTGCATCCATGCCCTTCTGCAGGTCGACAACACACATTATGACCAAGTATTACGCCTTTTCAGTCTTCAGCCAAGACACGGCGAGCTGCACAGCAAATGTCCCTGCATTTTATGCATTTCACACTTTTATTCAAGGGTTAGTTATATCTCCAGCTATATTTTCACCAGATTTGCAGTTATCTATCTCTTCTCTTGATTGTAAATGCTCCCATTTCTTAATCAAAGTCCCTTATTACTGCCTAAGTGGAGGCCTAGGGTGTAAGTTGGAAGCTATTCTGCGAAGAAAGGAAGGTACTTTAGCTTATATGTATTACCCGAATTGTCATGAGATACGCATTCTG